CTGCCTTTGTTGTTGTGTATTCCTTTTTTGTTGAGCATGTTGCAATGAGAGAGAGAGAAAAAAGACAAATAAGAGAAAGAGGAGAGAGAGAAAGAAAAAGGAGAGCAGAGAACCAGACACATGCACACAGAGAACCACATGCACAACCCACAGAACCAGAACACACCGAGAACAGACACATGCACACAAACGTCCAGAACCAGACATGTGTGCGCACACAGACACACAGAACCAGAGGCAGACTAACGTACAGAACCAGACGCGCAGGTGCACAGAGCTGCGCTCCTGGGCCACTGGACGAAGACTGACACAACAATGCTGTGGTCCCGCCAGAGCCCCTGTGCTTGCCTTGGGAGCCAGCCCCCGGGCTGCAGCACGGCTGGCCGAGGCCCCAGCCTGGAGCCTGCCCATCAGCCCAACTACCCACCCCACACAGCTAAGCCCGCAAAAGGTGCAGCGCTCCTGGCAAGGGGCTCCACCAGCCTCATCCTGGTGCGAGGCTGGGCTTGGAGTGGGTGGGAGTCAGGTGGACTCAGCTGCAAGCCCTGCTGCAAGCAGCCTGGGCTCCATGGTTGGCAGCAGCTACCAAAGCCTGGGCCAGCTGCAGCCAGGAGGCTGCAAACAGCTGCTCCGGGCTCCAGTATCAGCTCCATACTGGTGGGTGCACATGCGCCTCAGAGCAGATGGTGGGGATAGGGCCTGAGGCAGCACAGCCCTCCCGCTGTCTGCTCTGAGGTGCACATGTGTCACTGCCAGCATGGAGCTGATGATGGCAGGGCTGTGGAGCTTGCTGCAGCTGCCCAGAGCCCAGGCTGCCTACAAACAGCTGCATCAGGCTCCAGAGCCCAGTCATCAGCTCTGTGCCAGCAGCTGGGGAGAGGCCAGGGTTGCGATGCCTCAAGCCCCTCACCCACCGTTTGCTCCAAGACACGTATGCACCTGCCAGTATGGAGCTAATGCCGGAGCCTGGAGCAGATGTTTGCAGCCTCCTGGCTGCAACCGGCCCAGGCTCTGGGTAGCTGCTGCCAACCACGGAGCCCAGTTTGCTTGCAGCAGGGCTTGCAACTGCCCAGCTGCCTGCTCGCAGCAGCCCAGGCTCTGTGGCTGGCAGCAGATGCCTAGAGCCCAGGCTGGTGGTGGCGTGCCAAGCAAAATGGCCTCGCCTGCCCTGTGTGGCACACATGTCAGGGGTTGCTGACCCCTGGTCTACACTGACTACAAGGTCTTGTTTAAAAATTCCAGTTAACATGCATTAGCTAATAGGGCTCTGTGAAGCTTCAGTCCCTGATTTGATTTGGCAGAGATCTGGCCCAATTCAGTGGCTGAATCTCTGAATCTGAATTGAATCAAAGGACCCTTTAATCTCCCCAAATCAAATCAGAACCCTCTGAATCGATTTGGACATAGACACAGTTTTAAATGTTTTCCTCTAGGTAGCAGACAGCTCGTGAATGCTGCAATGCTGGGGCGGATGGAGCATCCCAGAGAAGCGTAGGGGGCTCCCCATCATGCTCGGCTGCAGACCCAGAAGTGGACCAAGCACTTCTGGTCCACTGCCAGGTCCACTGGACAGCGCGCGGGGACCCCCCTGCACCCCCGCCCCCCCGGCTCAGCAACAGGTGCCGCTTGGGTCTGGGCGGGCACCTGGGGTCCCCCCGCGGCCGACCACTGAGCCGAGGGGGTGCAGGGGGGGTCCCCCAACACGCTCCCCAGTGGACCCAGAAGTGGACCAGAAGTAGTTCTGGTCCACTTCCAGGTTTGCCGCCGAGCACGCGGGGTGCCCCTTGCTCTCCTGTGGGACGCTCCATCCGCCCCAGCATCACAGTGTTCATGAGCTGTGCCGGTACCCTGAGGTAGGCAGAAAAAACATTTAAAGCTGTGTCTATGGCCAAATCATTGATTCTCCAAATCAGCATTGAATCTTCAGATTCGGCCAAATCAAATCAGGGACAGTGATCTGAATCAACTAATAAAATCACTGTCCCCAATTTGGGCCAAATCCATATCCAAATCGAATAGGGCCTGCTTCGCATACCCCTATTAGCTAATATGATTTGAAGCACAACAGTTTATGCTATGTTACGCATGCCTAGTAAAAAAAACCAAACTCCGTATTTGGAAAATTAACAACTTCCTTCCTCCAACCAAGCAAAAGCAGTCAATAGTCAGAAAGGAGCTATGTTAAACCTTTACGTCAACAGCTCTATGAAACAGAGAGTCGACCACAGTTGATTTCACATTTTGGAAGAGTAATTTTTAAGCAAATGGAAAACCACATTTGCAAGCCAAATTGGGTATCACAGATTGCACTGAACTCCACATTCTGAGAACTGTTCCATGCCTCTACACGCTGCCTGCTTGGCAGAGTCCAAGCCAAGACAGCAGATGCTACAAACGGTCTGAAATAAATAGGTGAAAGAGAGAAGTTTTCTTTACAGCCCAGTTTTAATGTTTTGTACCATAAAGTGCAGCCTTTCTACACATGGGAAATGCTTAACAAGCAGATTTTACACTGTGTCTAACTGTTTGGATTATATAGTTCAAAACATTCTGAGTTACGGGACCTTGCTACTTTAGATAAAAATATGTATGTGACAGGTTTAAGAGCAAGAATTGACAGCTGTTTTTCAAGCTGTATAAGTCAATAATTCAGAGTCACGTCTGACTTAGAGAATTTTGGGTACTTAGCAAAACAAAATGCTCATAGAGGTCAACTTTGTCATGACTCAGATTTCCATAACTATGCTGAAGACTACTAAAAGGGAAAGCCCATACATGGTCCATAACCTCCTTTTAAAACACTTGAGTCTCCTCTTTCACTTAGGTATTTCTAAGGTACCTATTACTCAGCCAGCCACCCTCCATGCACAAATGAAGCAGGCTGCAAGGATGGGGACATGCAGACAGTGCCATGACTCTGCCTGCAAACTCAGAGTAGCTCTAGCATGCAGCAACAATCAGGGACTAATGGGAATCTTTCCTCAAAGTGCAGAAAGGTGAATTTAACCTTTGTTGTTTTCAGTGATCCAACCCTCTCTTCCTCTCTATTCTATCACATCACCACACTAAAACCTTCGGATTCTCGTGGAAGGATTGAACGTTTACATTTATTCTGGGCTGCTTTTCTTCTGAACTCCAGAATTTATGATTCAGTTCCACATTCACAAACAGTAAATTATCTCCAAATGTTCACCACCCAGTCACTGTTATTAAGAACTACTCAAGACGGTCAATTGGCAGCCTTTGATGTTTCCTAATATTTTAAAGGTTCTTGCTAAAAGAGATCACGTTTTGAATTTGAATCTAAAAATAAGACAAAAATGAGGCGTGTACTTTTACAACATTTATTTTCTTCTTTTGAACGTAACACACTTTAACAATTTAACGGCTCTGCAGCTGATTGGGGTTACTGCTCACTCAAAAAAATTATTAATATAAAAACATGAAAAAACCCACATTAGAACACATAAAATGAGAACCTTTGTTTTGTATTTCAAGTTTCTCAACTTCATTTGATTCTCCAACAATAAAGAAAACAACTGCTCTCTTTTCAGAAGAGATGACTGGAAAGGAACTAAGAATATTTGTTTAGCGGGGGAGCTGCTTTGGTTATGCTCGCTAGCACTGTTATATTTAGCTGACATGTTTAGGATATTGTTTGCTCTTATATATAATGCAGTGTGGGAGGCAGGCTATTACTACGACACTCCAATTTCTGGAGGTTGTATCCACTAGGATAATGTAGCTTAAAGCTCCTAGAAGATCTAGGAAAAATGCATACCTTTTTCAGAGTAATCACATGGTTTGTGAATGCCAGCCATAACCAGGACATTATTTGCCACCAATCCAGGTCCAATTTTTCATATTTGGGATGAAAACCCCATTTCCTTGAATCCTTGCAGGTGACACAATGCAGCCTTGAAATTTGAAACAGTCATGGACAGTGGTGGTTTTTCTTTTAAGCAAATTTAATTCCTCCCTCCTATGTGCATAAATGAGCCTAATGCCTTGGAAATAGTAAAACAAAGTTTCCTAGGGTTTCATTCATCCCTTTGTTCATTCATCCCTTCCTAAGTTTCATTCATTCCTTTGTGTATGTAAGGTGTCCGAGTACCTGTTGCTCTAAGAATCAAGCGCACTGAAAACATTTCAGAGGACTCAGCATCTCACAAGGCAAGGGCCGTATTTTGTAAAGATTATGGGTGAATTAATGTGGTAAATAACCTGGGAGAGACTGGCTCTGGCACAACACACTAAAAGTAAAAGTAATCTGTAGGGAAGCAAGAGGTGGTACACAGAGACCTGAGAAATGCTAGGCAGCAGGTACATGTGAACAAGGAGGCCATTTCCTCGAACAAGAGGCCACACCTTCTAGTTTCCTTGGATGGCACTTGGAATGGAAGGCCTAATCCAGGGCTTCTTACAATTAAAATGGTACCCAGAAATGAAGCATCCAACTCCTACCGGTGGTGTGCCACCACCGCTGAGGATGATCTGATGGACGTCCGTGCACAGCATCAATCAGAATGTGGTCAAGTATGTGATTCTGACATTTGTACTGCTGTAAAACTTTCTTTAAAGTTACTGGATTTTCCACAGCATATTTTAAACTCTAAAAAAAGGATTCTGCAGTAGGTCATCAGGTCTTGCCAACAAAGAAGGCCATTACAAAAAGTGCTGGAACTCAGATTACTAGTACTATATTTAAGAACAGCTCTAGTTAAGTATCCTTCTGTTTCATGAGGTAGCTAAAAATAAACTGGACTGTTGTATGAGCATTTTGAAATGCACATAAAAACTCGGTCTTTTGGACACTTAACTGATTCTTCATCTACTGACAAGTTTCTCAACAATCACTTCACTCTTTCACTTTCACTAACTCAAAGGCTGTGAGCCACAGCAACAGCATGACCACAAGCACTATTTATATGGACTTTCAGAAATGCTTGTTCAGTCTTCTAGGTGGTCTACACTGCTGTTTAAGGAGGACAGTCACTTACCAAGTGGCAAAAAGGCAAGGCGGTTTCCAGCCATAGACAGCTCGTTGAGGCTGGGGAGCTGGCAGAGGTGGCGGGGTACACACCACAGGTGATTCCGGTCTGCGGTCAAGTACTGCAGCGAAAGACACATGTGTAGCCTCTCTGGCAAAGTTATCAAGCGGTTGGTCGAAATGTCCAGTGTCTGCAGCTCTCTCAGGTCTCCAACTTCTACAATCAGAACATCAAACATTGAAACACTGCATTATTCAATGCATTTCCAAATGAGAGGACAAAAACCTCCTAAGCTAAACAGGTAACAAATATTTTAGTTCCCACGTTCAGATTTCTCATGCATGTGGCAGTATCTACTTTTCTTCCTAGACAACTCCATTTTGAGGCCTGCCCAGCCACTCACCTCCCTCACAAACCCTAGCACTTGTTTTCCATGCCAGCTCCCATCGCGCACATCTTTTCTTACTACACGCCTATACAGATTATTTATTGCATGGGTTCTATAAACTACCAGCCACAAATAATATTAGAAAATGCATTTCTAACAACCTGGTAACATATCAATAACGATCCTTTCAACAGTAAGGTGTCATCACAATATACATTTATTGGAGACAAAAAACACAAATTGGTGTTATCCAAACCCATTCAAAAAACAAGCAAACATCCCCCTCCGATTGATCTGTAGCTAGATTTGAGATTTGAAGCAGGGTCAAGAAAGGCTTGTTTAGAATTTTCTTTTCTCTTCTGATGTATGCTTTTGTGACTGCCACCAAAGGACTTTATTTAAATACACATTCAGATGGAACAGTACTTAACCTCACACACTTTAAAGCAAAAACTAAAGTGTGGAAAGTTTTGATTTCTGAACTGCTGTTTGCTGACGATGCTGCATTCATAGCCCACACCGAGATCACCTTCGAAGCCTCGTTAGTTGCTTTCCTCATGCCTGCCAAGAGTTTGGGCTTATAATCAACATCAAGAGTATCAATGTTATGATCCAGAACATCGACTTACCGCCAGCAATCAGACTGGATGTTGCAAGTACATTTGTGTACCATTGCTCCATTGTTACCAACAAATTTTTGTCACCTGGGGCTGAACTGTATCAGCAAAACACCAGGTATCATGAGCAAGGCAAGCAAACAAGTAGGGGACACAACAAACTGGCTGTTGAGACCAAGGTCAAAATATATTGTGCTTGTATCATCAACACTTTTGAATGGCAGCAAATCCTGGACCATATACCCTACAAGCACCTCAACAGCTTTCACCTACATTGCCTTGGCCGTATGCTAGAAATTTCCTGGTGGGACAAAGATGCCTACTCTGAGGTTTTGGAATGTGTCAATATATCAAGCATCCATTGTCTTCTTAATCAGCATTGACTTCAATGGCTTGGCCATATGCAGCAAATAGACAATGGCTATATACCCAAGGATATTTTCTGTAGAGAATTCTTTAGAAGAAAACGATTATGCAGATATCCTTATCTCCATTACAAAGATGTTTGAAAGAGCTATATGAAGGCAATGAATATTGAGCCAAAACAACCGGGAGAAAATTGCTGAGGATCAAAGCACCTGGAAAAAGTCTATTAAGAATGGAATAAAGGCTTTCGAAGGAACGAAAAGCTAAACATGCAGAAGAAAGAAGAAATCTAAGGAAGAACCTGGCAACCACATTCAGGACCGTTAGATACTAACTTCACACGTGATAAATGCAGAAGGGACTGTGTAACAGAGCGCCTGGGGCTCTCTATTCCTTTTAAGGGAAAAACAGCCCAGCGAGGGAGCACTGCAGGGTAGGCAGGGCACAGTGCTGCAGGGGCAATGGGGCAAATGAGGCAATTAGCAGGCACCTGCAGGCAGCCAGAGCGGCCTGCTGACCGGAACGGGGAAGAGCCCTGGGAGGATACAAGCCTGAGGCTTGGGCTAGCAAGCTAGTCTCTCCCTGGCTGCCACAGGGTGAAGAGTTCCTGGCAGCAGGGCTCTTGAAGGGACTGTAGCACTGCACATGGATCCCCAGTGAGGCTCGGGGAGCTCGCTAGGATGTAACCCAGGGCTAGGAGGCTATCTCAGTTGAGGGATGAGGGGAAGTTTATGTTATAGTCCAGGGCTTTATGTTTACAGTACAGTTACGCTAGCGGTTTGGGTTGGGACTCCAGGGTTGGTATACAGAGGTCCCATTAGTGTCCAATGGGCACGCGATTGCCTTGAGCTGTGCCAGTGACTGGTGAGCCCAGAGAGGGGCCTGGCGCCAGAGAGGGGTGTAAACAGATGGGGGCCAGGGGTCCCATGCCTGAACGGGCCAAATAAGAGCTAGTGCCTCAAAGCCAGGTCCAATACAGCAGGCCCAGGCTAGAAGGCCTAGCTGGAGAAAAGGGGAAGAGGCCAAGGAAGCCAAAGCCATGACAGGAGAACATCATTACTGTAACACCTGTGAGGCTTGAGGCATGGTGTAGGGAAGGGTTAGAGCCATGCAATTAGCCCTTAAGGCTTTAGGTGTCCTGCAGGGACATAGTCATAGAGAGGTCCAGCAAGGGGGCCAGTTGGACTGGGGCTGTGCAAAGGCCCATGGGTAGCCTCCTTATTTATTATTCCATCAAGGCATGGCAGGAGAGAAGAGAAGGTGCTTCCTCATCAGAGGAAAAAAATTGGCCCAAGTTAAATAGTACCAAGGGATTTAATTTCAGTGACTTATTGTAAAATGATACAAAAATGAAGAGACTTACATCAGATTTTAGAGTTTCACTTAGGCAGACAAGGTTCTTTGGGTAAATGTGATATCTTTTATTAGACCAATTAAATTGCTGAAAAAAAGTGTTCTTTGTAAGCTTTTGGATACAAACACCATTCTTCAGACATAGGGATAGTCTGCTGGTGTTTGTGTGCTCTCCTGGGTGGAACAAAATTGTAAGGAAATATGCAAAATGAAGGTTGGTGAAAATGCAAATGAATGACAGGGAAGATCAGAGTGGATGGGAGATGACAGGTGCGAGACAGGTACGTGCGGGGAGGGAGGGCGGATGTTGACCTGGTGACAGAATGTAGCTGGTAAAATGTAGAGAGGTTACCTGGTGTTACAGGATGGCAGACAGGTTAGAACGTACCATAAATCCAATGTCTATATTTAGTCCATGATTTTCTGTATCCAGTAGGTTTATGAAGTGAAGTTCACGGGCTCGTCTACGAAAGGTATTTTCTAGATTCCCTTTGAGGATTAGAATTGAGAGATTGAAGAGAGAGTCATTTGCTTGTGAGAAATGTGCTCCCATGGATAATTGGGTGTTTTTGTCTTTGATAGATTTTTGTTGTGCATTTATTCTGGTACACAGTTACTGTTTGGTTTCTCCTACATATTTTCCATCAGGGCATTTCGTGCAGTGGATGATATATATTACATTTCTAGAGATGCAGCTGTAAGATCCAGGAATGGTGATGGTTCTATTGTGGGGTGTAGTTATTGCGGGAATGGTGGAGGTGTGTTGGCAGGTTTTACATTTCTTGTCCTGGTATGGTCTGGATCTATTCTGCGTGCTTTGGCCATAGAAAGTTTACTCCTGGTGATGAGGTTGGCGAGGTTCAGTGCTTGTTTAAAAGCTGAGTGGCTCTGGAATGATCTCTTTAAGCACTGGTGTTCTTCTAATATGGGTTGCAACTATTTGAGGATTTTCTATATAGGTTCCAGGGAAGGATGGTATGTCATAACTAATGGTGTGCGATTCGTGAGGATTTTCTTTTTGTATTGCAGGAATTCTTCACGTGGTATCCAGGTGGCTCTTTCAGAAGTGCAATATATCTCTCTGGAGGAGCATCCTTGCTGAGCGAAAGCCCTTTTGATATTTGCAAGGTGATGACTGAGGGTGATCTCGGTGCTAATTTGGTGGCATTGGGGGGCTTGGCTGTATATTACAGCTTTCTTAGTGTGGGGGTGATAGCTGGTTCTGTGTTTCACTTAGACATTAATATGAACAGAACATTCTGAGAGAACCAATTCCCTCTTTTTCTGAACAAATGCAGTCCCATATCTTACCATGATAACTGTACAGGAAAGACGGGAGACAAGAAAGCTCAAAAGCTGGCCCATGTGGTTTTGGTCTTGCTAGGAGTGTCATGCTACATATTTGTGTATTGTGAAATAAGAATATTGGCTTAGAATTGAGCACTTCATTTCCTGCCCTGAAATTTCTATTTACCTTTATCCCTCAAATCCTTAACTTATAAAACACTTATCAGCTCGGCAATACACTTAAATATGAGCAAAATCAGAAGAGAACGAGTCTAAGTTAAAATATAAGAGAGAGAAACAATGCCAAATTTTATGATACTGAGAAATATATGACAATCGGGGCAAAATTAAATTGGATTTAATGATCTGGTCATTGGCACAAGTTAACTAATGCACCAGGTATATCTGTTTCCCAGGTGGAGACATAAGTGAAACTTTGTGCAGTTTTTCCAGCTACATCATTTGAGACTGCAAAATGACCATTACACCTATTAAGGAAGTTTTAACTTAAAGAACCTTGCAAGCATTCACAACTTGGAGATGCCTGGAACTGCCTACTGTGTTTTTCAAGAAACATTCAGTAATTGTTTTTTGCAGGCAACAGCAAGGGACTTAACTAGGGACCAACTTAGGCTCACACAGGTAGTGCCAATTACTACAAAAGCAAGCGGTTTGCCAGGCCAGGAACACCACTTTTTCTTCTCCCAGTGCTGGCTCTCAAATGTATTTAGAACCTTCTGAAAGTACCTGATTTTTTTTTAAACATAACCTAATGTTATGTCTGACAATGCCATAATCTTTACAAAATAAGGACCTTACTCTGTGAGATGCTGAGTCCTCTAAAATGTTTTCAGTGCACTCGATTCTTAGACCAAGAGATACTCAGGCACTGCACACACACACAGGGGGATGACTTTACCCTAGGCTGAATGAAGCCACCACTGGCAAGAACAGGATTGGCTCTTAATAAGATTTCTCAAGATCCAATACACCCACGGGGAAAAAAAAGGGTAAAAACAATCTACTACGCTGCCACGCAGAGGTTTCTGATCATTACAATCAAGGTGATACTATTTCTGTTAAACCTAAACAAGAATCCTTTGTGCCCTTACCATCCCTCTGCAGCAGCAGCAGGAAAACTAACTATTCCCCGAGCTCTGCCGGCATCTTTTCTGAGGACTGGAGCCGAACAAGTAAACAAAGAG